CTTATTTACTTTACATACAACAATAGTTTAGTTATATACTATAGACTTATAGAAAGAGACCTTCTAAAATGTTAAAATGTATTACTGGCACGCGAAACCTTAAATTAGAGTGAATAAATGAAGACTCGGCACACCATTTCTGAAAGGTTGCCGACCACTGCTGTAGTTAATCTACCTCCCCAAGTGGCAGTAGCTAGGTTGACAGAAGAATTCTTCTACAGCGGGGTTAGGTCAGCTTAACCGTGTCGCTCCCGAGTGTGGATTTTTCACACACCTGCACACCATAGCTGGGCTGACCTAACTTTCTCGTGCAGACCTGGCCTAAGGGCATGAATACACTACAAGCGCTTCAGCAGCACAGCTGTAGCTACACCACTGTAGCATAGACACTTGCTACAGTGACAGAAGGGGTTTTCCACCGCCGTAGTAAATCTACCTTTGAGAAGCAGTAGCTAGGCAGATGGAAGAATTCGTCCATCCACCTAGCAGTGTCTACACCAGGGCATAGGTTGGCTTAAATATGTCTCTCAGGGGTGTGAATTTTTCACACCCTTAAGCGACCTACCTAGCTTGACCTAAGTTTTAGGTGTAGACCAGGCCTTCATGAGAGAATAGAAACAAACCAAACTTGATCCAGCTTAACAATTCTAGCCTGGACAATTACCATGAGAAAGCCTGGTAGTGAAGACAGAACAGAGACTACGCAGCCATTGCAGTGGGGTATATATCTTTAGGGTAATAAGATGTGAAAAAAAGAACAGGAAAATCAGTAACTGCAATTGTTTATCTAACGCGAGGAATACAGTTCTGAATTGATAGGAGATACAGACAATAGACTGGACAAGAGAGGCACTGACAAGAGGAACACCACAAGAGAGATAAGCAAGGCACTGCAAAAAATACCCTGAAAGCATCAGAGGACTATGAGTTAGATAAAAGAAAGCAAAGACACAAGACAGAGGGGTGAGGGGGGTCTCTGACATGCTGACTTCATGGGTGGTGAGGGGGTGAAAGGAGAATGTATTCTTTGGGAATGTCTTCATTTCTCCCATTGTAACTAACCTCTCTAAGTTAACGCTTACTGAATACAAGGATACATGGGTCATGCAGGCTGCTGCTTTTGTATTAGTATGATTTTTCTCTCTTCTAAACAGATTGTGTTTTTAATTCTTCTTGAGTCTTACCCCGCTTGGGAGTTTCCTGCTGACCATCCCAGAGACATAAAACAACCTTCAACCTTTAACAAGATGTAGTGAAAGAAGGGAGCCTGGAGCCTACTCTGCCCAGGATTCTTGGTGAAAGGGGCACAGACTAGAGTCCCCTCCAAAAAGGTGTATCCCGTGCAAAGCTGCAGTCCGATGGGTGCACAGGGAATACCTAGTGACCATGGACAAAAACCAAGTATAAGGTGGTGAGGTGACAGGCTGAAAAAGATTACCAAGACTCTGGACTCTGCCAAAACTGAGCTAAAAACTATAAACCAGCTATACCAGTACCAGAACCAGTATCTAAACGGAACAAACTCACTTCTGCAGCTCTTACTTATGAGAATAGTCCTGCTTTTGTGGTGATTCATGCTGGCCATAATCCCCTCTCTGCTTGGGTCCTGCAAGTGGCTAAAGTAGCCAAAAAAGTGGGCAGCACTGGCAGGGGAGGGATGTGGCCAGGACAACCAGGGACTGGGCAGATACAGCACATGCTTGTTTCAGCCTTCGAGTGGAAAGTAAAGCTGCCCTCCCCCGTGGATGCTAGCCACCCTCTTCAAGTGATGAATCCTCACCCCATTTTGCCAGGGGGTTTGGTGGAACAGTCCTCGTATGCCAGCAGGGGGCAGATCCGGTCAAATAGCCACAAAGTATATTATCTCACAACAGGTGAGAAAACAGAGAATTTGATGATGCATTAAGGCAGTTTCTCTAAATCAGAAACCAGAAAGTAAAATTTACAAAGAACTTGAGAAACTGTGCTCTAGTCTGAAACAAAAAGAAGTATTAGCCAGTGAATCACAGCCTTTGAACCTATCCACAACAGTTAAGTTCTTTCCATTCTGGTACTGGTCAATCCTGAACATTTTCTCAAAAGATGGACAAAGAAAGTTTTTAAAGAAGCGAAAGGCTGAAAAATGAAATTGTAGCTTCGAGATATGCTAGTGAAAGCAGAGTTTAGCTGAGCCCAGACAAGAGAACTGGGTAATAGGGCAATGTATTGTAAAAGCAGAGTGTAAATGAAACTACACCAAGAGAAGTAGGTAAGAGAGCACTGCAAGGGAGCCAGCTGGAGAGAGGGATGTGCACAAATGTAGTAGTTAGCTGCACTCATGCAGTTGCACAGATGTAAATGCTTCTATCAGTTGCGTTCAGTCTGTAAGTTACATGCTGTGTCACTACATTAAATGACCTAAGTGAAGTATCACAGTAATATTTCAGGTTGGAAGGAGGCCCCCATGACCATTTAGGGCTACCTATTGTTTAGCTTTTTTATATTCGCTTCTCTACCTCTAAGGGTACTATATTTACACTACAAGCACGACAGTGGGATAGCAGCAGTGCTGCAGCTACACCACACTGTAGTGCAGACACTTATTGTAGTGATGGAAGCGGTTTTTCCATTGCTGTAGCAAATCCAGCCCCTTAAGAGGCGGTAGCTAAGCATCAATGGAAGAATTCTTTCTTTAACCTAGTGATGTCTACACTGGGGCTTAGGTAAGCTTCACTACATCTCTCAGGGGTGTTAATTTTTCACACCCCATGAGCAATGTAGCTAGGTCAACCTACGTTTTCGGTGTAGACCAGACCTAAAGTGTTTGCCTAACTCCTTTTTGTGACTTCTCATCTAATAAGATTTGCACAGAATGTGTATAGTAATTAAGAGCCATTTCCTGCATAGCTAGGTAGACAAACCTCCCATTGATTTCACTGTGCCTCACAGCCAGATCATATTTATAAGATAAATGTATACATGATGGATTGCATTTGTAATATAACTGCATTATATTTCAGTGCCTCTAAGCTGTTATTCCGGTATCATTCTCAACTCAGTACCTCACAAGCTCAAGCTCCCAAAAAACTCACCAATATACATGGTGCATTCTTTTATATTACCGAAATATATGTTATCACCTTTCTTGTTTTGATAAATACTCAGGCACCCGATCTTTCCTGAATTCAGATCTACCTTCAAACACCAATTAATGAGAGAACATCTGGAGAACATAGATCCCTGGTAACGTCTGTGCTGACTTAGGGTGAACAAGCAAGTCAAAGTGCTAATGCTCAGCTTTCAGTGTGTGCAGGAAATGTTAGTACACTGCTCACCTAGTGTGGAGAAATGTGCACAGTGCTCAGCAAACTTCTTGGTCACATGGAACTGAGCCTGGTGAAAAGGGGAGTGCTGGGGATGAGTGTGGCCAATCCTAGGCGCTTACTGGAAAGCCAGTTATGTCTTACTTTAAACACACTTGCTAAACACTGCCCGGACATTTAAAATACATACTGTTCCTTGTCCACCTTTTCTCTGAGCTTCTTCAGCCGCTTCCTTTGGCTAAATAGCAAACTTTGAATGATGTTCTCAAAGTACTCCTCCTCTTTGTAGTTCAGCTTAAAAAAGGAGAAATAAAAGAAAAATGATATTGCAGTTTTGTTACTTGACTGCTACCGAAGAGGGACTGGGTTTAAAAAGTCCATTTCGAGCATGGTACTCAGAGTGATAAATTTCCTATGAAAATTTCTAAACTGCAAAAGCAGATCTTGGGTTTGCAGTGCTCTGTAACATCATTCATTGGGTATCACAGCTATATCAGCACCAGGACATATGCTAATGTAATATAGCGGTGCAGTGTACCCCAAAGGATCATTATTTGCTACCACTATTTCCTATTTGTAGATTTAGGGCTGGATTCTGCCATCATTACTTGGAGTGAGTAGTACCTTATTCTGGGAATCACCCAATTCACATCAATGGTGCCTGGCAAGGTGCTGCTCCCCAGGAGTATGCATGTCAGAATCAGGCCCGTAGGATATTTTAAGAAGATATTCTGATTTTTTTTTATGACTCTCCATTCTTTTTTAGCTTTAAAACTATTAACAGCACTTTGCACTCCTACACCACCTTCTATCTGAGGATCTCAACATGCTTTACATACTTTAATGAAAGTAACTCTCATGATATCCCTGCAAGGCAGGAGAGAATTATGAGCCACACTTTGCAGATGGACAAACTGAGATACAGTTTACAGTAGGTGACTTGCAGAAGGTCACAAATGAAGGGCCAGATTCAATCCTGATGTAAATGGGCACAACTTCATTGAATTCCATGGAACTGCAGTCACTTAAAGCAGGGCTGTTTAATTCACACACAGTCAGTGGAAATACTGAGCCTGATTCTCCATTGCACTGCTCCAATTCTATGCTGATATAACGCCATTGGAATCTACACTTATATGCACCATCCCCTAGGCACGTCTCGGCCTATACCAGCAGCAAATTACACCACTATCCATGCTGGATCAGTCATCTGTGCCACACTGCATGTGGGGGAAGGAGGGCAGAAGTGCAGAGCCTAAGCTCTACCCACTCCCTGACTCCTGCACCCCGAACTCAATATCCAGGTAGCCCATGTGGAGGTGAAATCTTACGCCTTATATCCCTGCATAGGCATGTAGTACAATCACAGTCTAGCTCTTAAGAGCCTTTGCTAATAATTGTTTGCATGATGACTTTATGGATACTTACATCTTGGTATTCGTTATTCAGTTTATTGTTATCCGTTATGATATCATCTGGATAGCCGATCCTCTCTGTAATTGCTGTAGCCTAAAGGACATAATAATATTTAAATTGGTTCGCTATTACATGCCAATCCAAATACAGCTATACCTTCGAGATGATCAGATACTAGTAATATACCAGATGTTTACGGGCACCTATTTGGAAACTCCTGTGTAGGAGCCTTCAATCTCATTGTATATTGTTTTTGTTGCGGTGTTTTTTTTTCTTTTCTTTTATGGATTTCAAGGATTGTAAAGCCCTATGGTTAATTGCTTTATGACTCTAAAAGAATTCAGAAAATGTGTCCCATTCAACAGAAATACTATCATATGGTTTTTTTTGATAAAACTGTATGCTATTGGCAGACCCCACATCTCAGCAGCAGTTTCCAATGGAATACTTATTTCAGTGAATGGAAGGTTTTCCCAAAGTATCTGATATTTCTACAAGACAGAAATTAAATTAATGATTATAATTTGTATAACTTCAACACAAGGCAGGCAAAATGGTCCTGTTAATATCTGCGGGGATAGGTACATTATATGGAGAGATGGGATCAAATTGAAACCATGAATCTGAACATATCCCAGCTTTTGAAGACAAGAATCTTCAGAATCTGAATCTGGATCCAAATTTCAGAGCAGGCTCCTACATTTACCATTGACTGAACCCAACCCTTGGATTTGAATACCCCTATACATTGAGGTGTTTGTTTGAAATCCAGATCGAAGCTTTTCAGTCCAGACCCATTCAGTGTCCATCACTTTGTGTAACTGATCAGTCTTTTTTATTTGATGCTGCTGCCAGAAGTTATAAAAAGCCTCATGATAGTAACTGCCTCCTTGGCAATCCTGTCTGACATTTACAATATACAAATGCCAAAATCAATTTAACTGTTAAACCAGTTTAACTGATATGTCTGTAAGTAATGCTCTGACTGGCTAGGCACACAAATAAGCAATATAAGTAACTCATCTCAGTACACTTGGATATCTTAGAGCTTGTCTACACTTACCGGGAGATTGACGAGCGGCGATCGATGTATCGACGGTCGATTTAGCAGGTCTAGTGAAGACCTGCTAAATCAACTGCAGATTGCTCTCCCGTCAACTCCTGTACTCCACCAGATCGAGAAGAGTAGAGGGAGTCGATGGGAAAGCGGCTCCCATCGACATCGCATAGTGTGGACCCCGCGGTAAGTAGGTCTAAGCTACGCCGATTTGAGTTACAATATTCACATAACTCAAATTGCGTAGGTTAGATCGAATTTCCCCTGTAGTATAGCCAAGGCCTAATACTAATTAGTTTGTTTGAAATGTAATGATTTTAGTCAAAGTCATGGATTTAGTCATTCATCCATGTGAATCTGCATAGTCTTGCAAACGTTTCTTAGGTTGGAGAGGCTGAGCACATATAACATCCAGAATTAATTACAGTACAGAGTGTACTGTAGGTGCTCAATACACTACCTTACTTAAAATACCATTCTTGGACCCAACCTACTGCATTGTTGAACTGTTGATATAGATTGTAACTAACTGTTCTCTATGACCATGGATGTACATAAATATAATATGGTATTATTGCATCTACATTGCATAAGCATGTAATGAAAGACACTAACATAAAACAAAATTTGCAGGGGAGCATGGTTAAACTCATTGGGGAACACTAACTTTGAACTTCCTGACTGTAATGTTGCAATAACAGTGTTATTTTATATGTAGCAGAATCTAGAGCCTGTTGAAAAAACAGTAATAAATTTCACAGGAATTTTTCAAAAAAAAATTAATGGGTTTTTCCAAATTTTGAAAAAATGCAATTGTCAAAAAAATTGACCAGCTCGATAGTAGGTAGAAAAATCCCATCATTTTCAGGGTTTTCTTTTTAAAAAAATTGAAGATAGAATTTGATGAAAAATGTCATTAAAATACTCAAAATTGGGAAAATTTCAACCAGCTCTAGAATATTGTTGATAAATGCAAAGTAATGCACATACTCCCAACTATGCATACAAAATGATGGGATCTAAATTAGCTGTTACCGCTCAAAGAGATCTTGGAGTCACTCTGAGTAGTTCTCTGAAAACACCTGCTCAATGTGGAGCTGCAGTCAAAAATGCTAACAGAAGGTTAGGAACCATTAGGAAAGAGATAGATAAGACAGAAAATATCAGAACACCACTGTATAAATCCATGGTACGCCCACACTTTGAATACAGTGTGCAGTTCTGATCAGCCCATTTCAAAATAGATATACACTTCTACCCCGATATAACACGAATTCGGATATAACGCCGTAAAGCAGCGCTCCAGGGGGGCGGGGCTGCGCACTCCGGTGCATCAAAGCAGGTTTGATATAACTCGGTTTCACCTATAACGCGGTAAGATTTTTTGGCTCCCAAGGACAGCGTTATATCGAGTTAGAGGTGTATTAGAATTAGAAAAGGTGCAGAGAAGGGCAACAAAAATGATTGGGGGTATTGAACAGCTTCCATCTGAGGAGAGATTAAAAAGCCTGGGATTGTTCAGCTTAGAAAAGAGATGACAAAGGGGGTATATGATAGAAATCTATAAAATCATGACTGGTGTGGAGAAAATGAATAGGGAAGTGTTATTTACCCCTTCACATAACACAAGAACCAGACTCGCTCAAGGAAATTAATAGGCAGCAGATCTAAAACCAACATAAGTGTCAAGAATTAGGGACTGCAGCAGAGCAAGTCTCTAAGCAGACTCATCAGTACAGTTGACCAGCAGAAGGCTGCCTGATTAGCGACACCATCTGATTGGCTGTTGAGGCCAGAAGGCTGACTTTTAAGTCAGCAGCAGCAGCTTGCTGGCTTCTCAGTGATCATACTGTCCTCCCCTCCTTCCCCATATGCCTGCTCCTGCCTTTCACTCAGCCTCGATTCTGTCCTGACGGTGCCTTGAACCCCTCCTTACCTGCTACCCTGCTCGATCCAGTTCCTGACCTCCTTTGACCCTCAGTTCTGGCTCCTGACTATGGACTCCAGCTTGACCCTTGTATCTGGTACTCAGTTTCTGCCTTCTGGTTTGACCCTTGGTTCCCGATGACTGACTATGGCTCTGACTCTGGCCACTAGGCTAGACTGCCCTCATCTCAATCAGCCGACAATAAGGAAGTACTTTTTCACACAATGCACAGCCAACCTGTGGAACTTGTTGCCAGGAGAAGTTGTGAAGGCCAAAAGTATAACTGGGCTCAAAAAAAGAATTACTTAAGTTCATGGAGGATCAGTCCATCAATGGTTATTAGCCAAGATAGTCAGGGATGCAACACAATGCTCTAGGTGACCCTAAATATCGGACTGCCAGAAGCTGGGACTGGACAACAGGGGATGGATCACTCTGAAGCATCTGGCACCAGCCACTGTTGGAAGACAAGATACTGGGCTAGGTGGACCACTGGTCTGACCACTATGGCCATTCTTATGTTTCTTATTAGAAATCATTCAATTTGGTTATCTCCCCTGCAAAAGAAGGATGGTCTCCTACAGTATGTTGTCTAGTGTTTAATTCAGCCTAATTTTAAATGTCTAAAGCAATAGGACTTTCTCTCTGCCCTTAGAAGACTGTTCTACAGATCTCGCTGTCCAGGAGTTTTTCACAATATTCAGTCTAAATGTTTCCCTTCTTAATTCCATCCCATTACTCCTACAGTCATTTCAGCCCAGTGAATTACCTTAAATCATTCCTTTCCATCTTGGTCTTTATAACTGTCTACAAATATTGTATTTGAAAGGGTATCTACTCCCTTTGTCCCTGCTCAGCCCAGTGATTCTCAACGTTTTCTGTACAGGGATCTCCTGTTCCATGCCAGGATCCTCCAATGTAACCAGGACTTAACTGAGACCCCCTTCTATTCAATAATATGGGAAAGGCAGGGTGGTTGTGACTCCTTGCCCCCAGTTAAAAGCCCATGGATTAGTCAAACCATGCATATTTATCTTTTTTAACCTTTCCTCATCAGTCATTCCCAGTCAATCTGAAAACTGCTAATGTAACATGTGGAGCTTTAAAAACTATGATTATATGTGTTTTAATATCTGGAAAAATTCTGTGCAGTAGAGTCTGAGTCTTATCAGTTGTAGCTATGTTGAGTGGAAGCTGACCCTCAGAATGAAATGGGGTTGGATATAGTTTGTAAACAAGGGATCTCCATATTGTACTAACTTGATCGCTGTTATTCTGATCTAACTAAAGTAATAGTAGATAAATGCAACGGTATGACTGTCTGATTAGATTTTTTGGTCAATTTAAGTTACCACTCTTTACAGTAGGGTTATAAAACAAATCAAAACTTGTTTTTTCACTTACTTTTTGTTCTGCTTTCTTTTTGGTTTCTGCATCCATCCAAGTGAGTTCATCTAACGTTGTTATAAAAACCTCACGAATTTGTGTAATCATTTCTTGAACCTGGGAAAAGCCATCAGAATACAGTAACACCACCCAGTCATTTTTTTCCTAAATCATAATCTGTTTTGTACATTCTTGTTGTTACTCAAATGGCATATTAATTGAGCAACAAATAAACTTAAGGCCAATGTTATCAGAAAGCAAAGTTTCCAAGTGAAAAGTGTTAATTATAATAATTACCTTTGTTATTTAAAGAATCAAAAGTTGAAAGTGGCTATTACTTATTGCAGAAATAATTATTTGGGAAGACGTTATGGTCAGTGATCCTAAAGAATTTATGATTAGACAATAACCCTGTAATCACCACAAAGGAAAAATCGTGTATTTTCACATCATTAGCCATAATAAAATACTGTTTTAAATAGCTAAATTCACCCTCCTTTCACTGAGAAAATATACCTTACATATTTCATTCACCAATTTATTTTAATTAAGTTGATTTAAAAGAGTTTGTTTTCAGAAAAGGTAATCAAATTCAGTGCCGCACTCTGTAATCTTCTCTGCTTTATGATATTGCCAGCTGTAGTTTGCAATGGCTTCTCCTAATCTTCTCTGACATCCATTCTTAGCATCATTTGCTAATTGCTTGTTTTACTGTCCTGGAAAAGGTACATAATCCCATCACCACAGACTGCTGACATAGGTGCTTCCCAACATATTGCTGAGTAGCATTTTCTTCCCTGTTCTTAACGCAACCTTAACATCTGAAGGTGGGAAATAACATTTTATGCTTTTGCAATTAGTGTTCCCTCTGTACTGGTTGAGGGAACTAAATCTATTTGCTTAGAAACATTAGCAGAGTAGTTCTGCATGATGATATACCGTGTAATGTTTGTCAGATTCTCTTGAACTGATAAGCTTGCTTTTCCTGTTTCTGTTTCTAGCCCTTGGTAGCCATTAGTATAGGAATGAAACAAAGCTACTGTAGTTTCAAGGAACAAATTCTGACACTGCATGAATGAGTGGTGCAGCTCCCATTTATGTCAGTTGGAGCAGCTGCAAGCATCCAAAGACAGCATTTGCCCTGGGCATCTGCAGTGGAATGAAATGAATGACATCAGCAATAATTGGGTTTCTACAACTCTAATATGAAGCCAATTTCTATTAAATCATCATCTAGTAAACTTAACCACTTGGATGGTGCACAAGTTAAGTGAATTGAAAATGTTACCACATGTTTACTGTCTCCAGCAAATGCTTCCTCTACATACAGCCGTCCCACTGCATTCTCCATATTGCCGTTGACATAGTTTGCACAGCGCCGCCAAACAGCTGTTTCTGATGTTGTGCCATAAAGTGCCTATTAAACATAAACATTAGATAAAGGAATGACATTTAGGTCAACATAAACAGAAGGAGAATGGTGACTGATTGCCAGACTATGAGTTTTGGAGGAGTCTAATCTACCCTCACTGACTGCATTTAATTCTCATTAGTGTTAGTGGGGATGAGGGGTACTCTCTAAATTGAACACCCATCTGAGGAAACATACGGGGGTCACTGGCAACATTCCCAATACCCCCCAGCAGCCATGGAAAGGGGGGAGGAGGGTAGAAAAACACCCCTAATAGACACGAAGGGGAGAGATAAGGAAGGTTTTGCTGCACATCACTGCCTCAGGTGCCTGGATTTGAACTGCAACCCCTTGCTCCACTAAGGACCACTGTGAGCAGACGGCAGATCACACCCAGAGGAGGACGGTGGAGCTTTCCACCACAGCCCTGCCAGCAGCTCCATAAGAGTGCCACTGGTGGTATCTGAGCAGGGGATCCCCCTAGTCAATGCCCCAGATACACAGGCTACACCACCTTTCCAGCGAGAGCCACACAGTTTTGGGACAGCCCTGACTGCTTGAAGGGAGGCTATTGGTATCTTGTACTATCAATGTACATGTTGCAAAGATTTTGTCATGATATTTCATTAATAAATGATGATGCAGAGATGTTGATGTGATGGTGTGACGTCATAACAAAATGATTACAGTGTTAGGGAGTCACTCTGTGATTATCTGGTGGCTCCCTGGAGCCCCCTTCAGCGAGAAAACAGTTATCCTTCTCTTCAAGATTGTTGATCGGGGACTTCATGTATTAAGAGCTCCATAATTCCTGCACCTTGCACTGAATTAATGATTGTGAAAAGGAAAACTGTTGATACTTCCTTTCACCCCAACAAATACATAAAGAATTAGGAGGAGACGAAAGGTCTTCTGAAAATGTTATCAGTGGCACACAGTATAGAACTGTCTACAACAGGCTTCCCTGAAGACCTTGCATTGTTGCAGCTTTTCCATGACTCTTACGTGAGTCAACACTGCCACTGACTAGAATAGAAAATTCCCCTATTTCTAATTTTGCTTCCTTTTTCACACACACAGACACACACATAGACCCTGCATCAGGGGAAATATGCATGTAATACAATACTGGCACAGTATGCTGGGGCTGATTCACTTTTAACCACAAAAAGCAGCAGACATAGCAAAAATAAATGCAAAAAAAAATTACACTGTCATGTTATGGTAGAGATTTTATACCCAAAATCAGGGGGCTAGCGTTACTAGGTCAGCGAAGCTGTGCTCAGCACAAGTCCAATGGGAGACCATGAAAGTGACCTTAGTGCTGCTCAATCTTACACCAGCAGCCCACAAACCAAAGGGGGGACGAGGGTTGTTGCTGCAGCTGTTGCTCGGGTGTTCCCGTATACCTGGCCACACGCCACATGGGCTAGAATAGCCAGCAGAGATTACAGTGCTCTTTGTTGCTCAGGGATTCTCCTTCACCTGCGGAATCCTCAGGAAGCTGCTTTTAAGTCTGTTTGGCCTCACCAGTGTGGCACCATGACCTGGTGAATCTGGCCTTGGAAATCCAAAATTATGCTTCCTACAACAATGGAAACTCATCCGCTCTGCATGTGATTATCAATGGTGCTAAACTACAATGCATTAATATAGATTCATGTATGTAATGTGGCCATTATGGTTCCATTAGAAACCATACCACTAACTTTCATTACTGTATTGTGCATTAACTCTCAATTACAGTGTTACATTAATATAACTTTTAACATTTAATTTCTGTTTTTAAATAATAATAATAGAAAAAGGAAGGTGCCAGTGCCTTTCTTTAAAGGAAATAACTATATCCACAGTTGTACAGTCACTTCAATTCCAAGTGCTATGCATCACCATACTAATGTGCATGCCATTTTCACTGCCATTCCAAGTCTCTCAATAACAGATCTGCTGGCGGGGCAGCAACTGTGATGGTGCAACCTGACAGTTTGGCCTCAGGGAACAGAATGGAACTCCAGTGAGCTAGGGTCATAGTCCTGCCTTTGTAACAGATGGAGGCTTATTTGAATATGCAGTCTAGCAATCTGCCAGGCTTCTTCTGCAGAGATTCTAAAAAGTGGTGGCAACAGGTTTGATGGCCTTTTTGCTAGGGCCCTGGCATCTTCACCTGAGAATTTCAAGCATTCTGTGCTCCAGCTCCAGAACATGTGAAATTTTAAATCAATAACTGACCAAATGGTCTAACCTTCAGAGAAACATGCTAGGGGTGAATCAGGAGAAAGGATCTTAACGTGGTTATGTTAGTGAGGTAGATTAATTACAGTGATGGGATGATCCCGTCACTGTAATGAGTGTTTACACTGATGTGCTACAGCATTTTAAGTGTAGACACGGTCAGTACTTGGCATTTTACAGGATTGTGCCATTAATGACAGCAATATTGGGCCCATAATGTTTGGCTATGGGTCATGATACTGTAAGGTGCTGAAAAGCTTGCAGCAAGTCAAAAGGAGTTGAGGAACCATAGTTATTTGCATTAAAATATTATTGTACTGCCATAAAACTGATCATGCATTCACTTGATTGACTCAAATTCAGAATAACACAGAGACAGATCTTAGAACAATATGTTTCCAACCCGCTTTCCAAGTATCAAGAATACATCATACAAATTATGAACACACTCCAGCAGGAGCATCAGCAAACATCTACAGCTTTGTGTGTTGCAAAGTTCAAAATGTGTTTCAAAATGTATATGGTGTAGCTGGTTCTCGGAAAACATTTATCTTTGGTGGGTGTTAAAAAGTCATATTTAAAATGTTAAAAGAGAGAGGAATTTCTGCACCTTACGAAAAGCATTCCTTGTGTCCTTGTAGTTACGGCTTAGACTGTTTACAAGATCCATTACGTATCGCCAAATCATGTAATTTTGAATGTCTCTGTGTAATAAAACAACAATAATAAGCTGGTGATGTTTCTAGGCTTTTGGAACTTATTGGCAATAAAATGCAAATTTTAAAAACATACCTGACATACCTACCTGGAAGTATATTTATTAAGAATAGGCTTTAGTTTGGTTAGATATTCTGGAGCATAAACAACCACATCTTCTGCATTCTTGACATTAATTTCCACAGTTGACATTATATTATTTATGAATTCTGACCAGTTGAATTGCTGGAAAAAACATGCATTTTATGGATAAGTATTAAATAAGAAATAAAATAATGTGATTGTTACCCATTTCTTTTTGGGATTCAATTATGTTTAAGTGAAACAAATGTTTCAGCTAAACTTTAGTTTTCCTAATATTGACACTACTGTAACTGGAGCTATCCTGGTAAAACTTGATTTTGGAGGATCTGAAATGATATTATCCCAGGCTGACAATTAGCGTGCAGGATATGGAATTTGTTTTTTTTAAAAGTACAGTGATTTAAATGGTTATGGTACTGTAAAATAAATCTGGAAAAATGGAAATGATACTTTAGGCAGTTTCAGGGGCTCTTTTCTTTTTTCTTTTCTTTTCTAATTTCTAGTCAAAAGTTTTTAAATTAATAATTCACTGAGAACCTTATTTTCATTTACTCTAAGGCCCCTCTTTACTGCTCTGGGAGTGTAATAGGGTCTTGGTATATATGATAATCTGGTCCTGAGACTTTCATATGCACTAAGGGCCTGATACAAAGCACAGTGAAATCAATAAGATGTATTCCAATGGGCTTTGGAACATACCCTAAATCCTGGTTTCAGAGTAGCAGCCGTGTTAGTCTGTATCCGCAAAAAGAAGAACAGGAGTACTTGTGGCACCTTAGAGACTAACAAAGTCTCTAAGGTGCCACAAGTACTCCTGTTCTTCTTTTTACCCTAAATCCTTTTACTCTTGCTCCCCAGCCTGTCATATTTTCACTAAGATGAGATACTTGAACAGGATCTGTTTGAAAGCAATACTGTTTGCAGTGTAAAGAGGCAGTTAAATCTCAGACCAAGGTCAGTGCTTGTCTTTGGAGACCATGTTATAATATCAGTAAATTAAACAATGATTTGTATTTACACTGAGAGTGTACAATGAGATCAATGCAGGCTACAATTAAAAAAAAAGGCATTGTGAATGGCAGGTACACACCTACATAAAAGCAAACTGTTTGGACGCATCTCTGGATGAGCACTCTAGAACATAGGCATTCCACATTCTGGCTTGTGCAAAATGTATCCTCTCAGAATTCCATGTCATTCACACGTGAACAAGGTACACAGTCTGAAACAGACCATGTCTATGGCTTATGTGGGTGAGTTACACTCTAACATTAAAGTGCCTTTTTTCCTCCTCTTCTGGCCTCCAACCCCAAATTCCTTTGTGCTGCTGTTCATTATTACACGGTCTTCAGAGCTTGGGCCAACAGCTATCAAAGCAATTTTCTATTAAGCAAATTCTTATTGAGTAATGCCTATGCAATCTGCACAGTGTGTTATTTTAAAATGTGAACATGTTAAATTTGAAACTGTGAAGGTATAAGGGATATCATTCCTCAGGGGTCAGAAGCCTGCAGCTGGCTGGCTGATTAGCCTCACCAGTTGCACCTGGGGAAAAAGAGCTGGCACTGAATTGGTTCATCCTCATAAAAAAAGGTAGCAGGAAATGGAGGGAGGAGTGGTAGTACCTTCCAGAAAACTGATGGGCTAGTAGCTGTTTGCAATAGACTGCTGCTGGACCAATTGTGTTACTAAGGCTGTGAGGTAAGAGGCATGAAATTCTGGGTTGATGAACTTACTGGTGTGAAGAGCAGACTTGGGGAAGGAACTACTCAGCGTGCACAGACATTGAGGGAAGAGTCTGTGAGGTTTTGTTTTCTTGTGTTAAGAAGGCTTGAAATAAAAAAAACAACTGACTGTGGAAAACTGCTTCCCTGGATTCTATGAGAGATCATCAGACAGAATTACCCTAGGCAATGAGCTGGCTCAGCAAGAGCAAAACCCGGCCTGGTAGGAGGAAGGTGCTGTTAGATAGGCCCCCAATCCTGTATGCTCTGTAATTGTGAACAACCCTTGAATAAGAAATATCATTGCTTGCCATTATGTTTTCTGTTCAATAGCTCTTTGCTCAAGGAACTAGATGGATGAAAGTAGGGTGACCAGATGTCCTGTTTTTAAAGGGACAGTCCTGTTTTTTGGAACTTTTTCTTATATAGGCACCTATTACCCACCACCCCTTGTCCTGTTTTTTCACAGTTGCTGTCTGGTAACCCTAGATGAAAGGATTGGTAAGAGGTTATAGAATCTTTCACTGAACACTGAATTTGTCCCGCATACAGGCAGTAGTTATTAAAAATTGTTGACAGCTGGAGACCATTTTGTGTATTATGAGGAATGAGTTACTGGTCTCACTCTATTATGTAGTGGGACAGTATTTGTACTACAAACCCCATCAGCAACATGGCATCTTTGTTCATAGTTGCAACAAAGAACAAGGTCTGAGTAAAAATGGAGAATATACTTCTACAACCTATACATGCTCCCTCTAGGTCAGTACTGAAGCATATTGGCAGAGTAATGGCCTTTTCCATAGACAATTATATTGACAGCACTGGAAAATGTGATACTTTTCACATGCATTACACTCCTATTGGCCTTATCCTGTGTGGCTCTGAAGACTACATGGAAGATGTTTAACTCCTTCAACTACCAGAAACCTCAATGGAAGTTGCAGGATGAAAAACAAAAAACCCCATTGCAGGATGAAAAAACAAAACCCTTTTCCATTCATCACTTTACCAAGTGAGCTTCCAGTGTGAATAGATGATATGGCAGTTTCCATTAGGAAAACTGTGAATATACACTGCTTTGTGTAGAAGTTCACATGATCTGTTAAAATCTCCATATTGGCCCATAACTCCCTGTTCCGTTGTACTGGTATTCAAGATGAAAAGAGGGCTGCAGAGCCTCTGTGGGCCAATGTGAAGACTGAGGGGGTGGAAATTAGAGAAGATGGTTAGGGGGCTGGAGCACATGACTTACAAGGAAAGGCTGAGGGAACTGGGATTGTTTAGTCTGCAGAAGAGAAGAGTGAGGGGGGATTTGATAGCTGCTTTCAACTATCTGAAAGGGGGTTCCAAAGAGGATGGATCGAGACTGTTCTCAGTGGTACCAGATGACAGAATAAGGCGTAATGGTCTCAAGTTGCAGTGGGGGAGGCTTAGGTTGGATATTAGGAAAAACTTTTTCACTAGGAG